TTACTTTACTATTTTATGTAAAAATATGACTTACTTGCACAAGCACAATTGATGCCCATTTAATGACTTGAAATTCTACAAAGAAATGCTTATTTATAAAAAAAATTGACAATGATGTTGCTGTTGCTGCCCTGGAAACATTTAATTGACATCTTTGGTATTTAACCGAAGAAATGTCCCCTCTTTCATTATTTTCTGAAAAGGTATCTGATCGTGATAAAACTAAAATTGCTAAAAAAATTCTGAAAAATACAAATGAAATCTGTGAACATGATATAGGCTTTCCACAATTTTCTCTTCTGAAACAGAGTACTTGTTTACTGATTTAATTGGACCAAAATCAAGCAACATTCTTAATTTATTTGGATATTCAAACAAGGACAGTTGTTGGTGGGCAAAATCCCCAAAGTTTTGGAAACTAACACAAATTTTATACACATATTTGATCATATCAAATCACTGAAATCTGTAAACGGTACAGCAGAATGAGCTGTTAAACTAATTCAAGACTATCCAACATCTATTACCAAAGATGACGAGCAGAAAGAATTTCTTTTACATGCAGTAGAACACCACGGATAAAAACACCTCTCATAAATAAACAAGCAATTCAAAAACTTAATTTTTGAAAATATGCTCTAAACAATCTCTTTTTTTATTAAACCTTTAAAGTATTGTTATTTTGTTGTTATAATTTTATAAAAATGAGATTTTAAATTTCTTAGTACTTATTCCCATTGTGCATTAATATTATTAATTTATACCTATCATTTCTTTGCTTCTTTGTTTAATATTTGAGTATTTATGAAGTTTTTTGTTTTAATTTAAAATTATAGTTTATAAAGTTCACATATTTAGGCAGAAAAAAATCTTATGATAAGGGTTGTAAAAAAAATATTATGAGAAAGGATGGGGGGGGGAGGAGATCATAAGCCAGATGACAATTTATTTTTAATAATTTATATTTTTATTTATTACAAAACTATTTGAAATTATAATAATAGTTAGTTATATTGAATATAAATAATAGATATACAAATTAAAGATTGTTTTAAGGCAAAACACTTTAAAGGGGTTATGAAGGGGTCAAATATAAAGTTTTTCTGAAAATAACATTTAATTAAGTTTATTAAGTTTGATTAGAAAAAATTGCACAAGAAAATTATAAAAAATGCAAACATAGTTGATTATCAAAAATAATTTTTAAAAATAGTTGATTATCAAAAATAAGTCCTTTGTGTCATTTTTTTATAAAAAAAAACGCGAAAAAAAGAGCTGCGGGGGTCAAATATGAATTTTTTTTTTTTTTTTGCTTTTAGTAGATGAAAATACACATGAAACTGATTGAAAATATAAAAAAGTTAAAAACTTAAAAAATTCATGTTATTTTGGAACACCCAGAATATATATATTGTTATGTTATTATTATTATGTATATGTGTGCAACCCTCAGAATTAGGCCTAACTGCCGACCTGAAAGTGTTTGAGGTCAGCAAAAAATTGCCAACCTCGTTTCTATGTTTTATGGTAAGACCTTTCTATCAAATAATTTTTGCCGACCTAATACCGACCTCTAAAGATTGAGGTTGGCAATTTATTGCTGACCTCCTTTTTCCTAATTTCAAGGGTTGTGTGTCTGTGATTTTTAAATAATATCATTCAATCCCCTTACTTTCTAAGCATTTTTTTTTTCAGAAAAAAATTATCAAAAACAGATAATTTTAGAATAAAAAAAAGAATTTTTCTGTGATATTTATTTTTTACTTATATCAAGGGTTGAATTAAGCATTGCTAACTGCGATATGAGGAAAAATATCTTATCAAAATTTTAGTTAATGCAAAACTGTGTACTTTTTTTTTATGGGGCAAATAAACTTAATATTGTTAGCAAAAAAGTTATAAAAACAAAATAAAACATTTAACTTAGAACTACATAAGTAATAACACTCTAGTCACTAAGTTATTAAAGTAATAACACTATAATAGTGTTATTACTTTTAATTTATATTACTTATAACTTTTATAATAGTGTTATTACTTTTAACTTATATTACTTTTACTTTTTTAAAAGTGTTATTACTTTTATAATTTATTATTGTTCAAGCAACACTTAATAATGGTATTTTAAATTAAAAATTATTTAAATAAGTGATCCTAAATTTTAATTGAAGTACAAATTTTACATATTTTTACAATACTTTAAAAACTTTACTTTATAATTAGTTTATCATTTCTAAACTGTTACTTATGGTCTGCAAAAATGTGCATTAATTTTAAAGTCAACCAGTAAAAAAATTTTATTGGTTGATTTTAAAATTAACACTTGCTTTTTTGGATACACAAAGGATTTTTAAAAAAGTAACAACTTGTCTCATGTTCGCCACCTTATAGGGCAAAACAAGACACCATATGTTATACAACTTAAGAGCAAATATAGAAGAGACTTAAGCAATCGTTTTTTAAAATAAAAGATATTAAATATAATTCATAAAAAATACAGTAGCTTTAGTTTAAAAAATCCTTGGCTAAGGCGTATTTCAAACTTAACTGCCATCCTCACAAATTGTTGCACAAGATATATTCAACCTCAAGACATAATCACGAAAATGTTCGATTTTCGTAATTATGTCTTGAGGTTGAGAGATTTTGACAAAAACAACCCTAAACTTTAACGCTACATTAACCATGTTTTACAATCGATAATACACACTTCTTTATAATACATTTAACAACTTTTCTTTGGGTTAACAATCATCTCTTGAAAACATAGATTTAAAAATCGACATGTCTATCCAGGTTTACAGTCATTGATGGTCCATTTTTATGTAATTTTCCCACTATAACATTTTTATTGCTTTTGAGATTTTTATCAAAACATTTTAATCAAAATAGTTTGTTTATTAAATTAACTTATTGTGTAAATTTTTTTTTTTTTTAATTTTTACTTTTTATAAAGACTTTTTTTTTTTAATTTTTACGTTTTATAAATGTATCGGGGTAGGGAAAACTATAACAACTATATATAAATCAAAAATATTTGAATGTGAGTAAATATATAGCTGCAAACAAATATTTTAATAAATTATCTCATAAATAACTTTTAGTATACAAAAAGTTTATCTACAACGTTTTGTTTGTTGTTTTTTTCTTTTTCTTTTTTGTTCTTTTCTTCTTACTCTATCTTTACTCAGGTGCAACCTGGTATAAGCAAAATTACCTCATAGGCTAGCAAAGCCACTTCATGGAGAAACAAGTTGAGCGCCATTTTCTAAAAAGGCAATTGATCTATGCTTCTGAAAATTTCATGATCATCTTTACAGCAATTGCTGTTTCCATTCGCCAATATAAATATGTGCTTACGTACAATGAAAGTTCAATCGGAGAAAAAAATTCAAAAATAAAATCTGTGTTCTTACCAAATTTCTAATCAAATTTATTTTTTAAATGATCGATATATTGAAATTGAAATATTTCTTTAGATTTATATCAAGATTCTGTTAAAAGTAGACATTTTCAAAGTAGTTTTTTTAAATATTTAAAGGTGTAAAAATTAGGCAATTAAAAAAAATTTTAATTACTGATACATAATTTATCACTAACATGCAAGTCGTTTGCCACTAGGTACCTATGTCTTGTCAAGACAATATAATTTTTTTATCTTGGCACGGTTTATGTAACATGTGAAGAACTTGTTTTCTCTTTACTTGATACATGAATTTTAATATAGCATTTTTTTTTATGTTTTTAAAATTCTTTTTTAGATTTTGAAAGGGAAAAAAAAAATCGATGGAAGAGTGGGAAATGAGCTCAAACCGGTAGACTTTGAGGCAGTTAAACAAGAACTTGTAAAAGAATTTGGTATAAAAGTTTTTTTGATAAAATTATATATTTAAAAAATTTACTATTGATTCTTCAAACGAAAACGTAGTCTATTATTTCTACGTTTAAGTTTTTGCAATACAGTATGTGTATGTGTGTGTGTGTGTGTGTGTGTGTGTGTGTGTGTGTGTGTGTGTGTGTGTGTGTGTGTGTGTGTGTGTGTGTGTGTGTGTGTGTGTGTGTGTGTATATATATATATATATATATATATATATATATATATATATATATATGTATGTATGTATGTATGTATATATATACATATATATGTATGTGTATATATATATATATATATATATATATATATATATATATATATATATATATATATAATTATAGGATCTTCAATTAGTGATTGCGATGTTATGAGTTATTGTATGTATCCGTCAGTGTTTAAAGAATATGCTCAGTTTCGTGATCTTTATGGTCCTGTTACCGGATTGCCGACACGTTTGTTCTTTGTGGGTCCAGAACTGGGTGAGGAAATAGAAGTTGAAATAGAGCTTGGAAAAAATTTACATCTGAAAATTTTAGCTGTGGGAGATGTAAATGAAACAGGTCATCGAGAGGTTTTTTGCGAAGCAAATGGTCAACTCCGTTCATTTTTAGTTGAAGACAAAACGGTTGCTAAGGTAAATCATTATGAGAAATAAAATGTAATTCATTTAGTTTTGTTTTTATATAGAGATATACAATAGTGTACTATTGTAATTTTAGACAGTTACGCGTAACCCTAAGGCTGTTAAAGGCGTCAAAGGCTCAGTTGGTGCTCCTATGCCTGGTAAAATAGTTACGGTTTGTGTAAAGGAAGGAGATAAAGTTCGCATGGGTGATCCTATAATTGTGTTAAGTTCTATGAAAATGGAAACCAGTGTTACAGCTCCAATCGATGGGACCGTATCTAGCATTACTTCAAGTGCTAATCAGACAGTTTTGGCCGGGGATCTTCTGATAACTATTGAGTAATTAAAGTAATTTGCAAAAATGAAATTCGTAAATTTTTTAAATTCTTGGAATTTTTTTTTATTATTATTATTGTAGTTTTCTTTTTATTAAATTTTCTTGTAAAGGCTTTGTTAAAAGATAAGTTTAAATTTTTCACTCAACTGTTTTATAAGTTACCTTTTAGTTCTTCTTTGCCTTCCAAATAAATGAAAAATTTTAATTTTCATTTGAACGCCAATTCCCTAGCCATAAAGTCTTATAGGATCTATAGGATTTTAGAACCAAAAAAAAAAGTTTTATAACTTAAAACTTTTTTTAACTTAGGTGTTTTAATTTAATTTGGTTCAATTCCAAAATTTTTTTTGTTCTTAATTCTTATAGGATCTATTTTGACTAGGGTTGTTTCGTTCAAACTCTTTCAAAGTTTTAACTTTAAACGCGTCTTTAAACAAATGACGACGTTATGATATAATCTTTTATAATATTAGCAGTAACTGGATCCGAATCTTTTTAGATTATTTTTATTTGGAAGATGCGAAGCTTCAAAAAAAAAAAAAAGAATTGAATTTAGATTTTTTGATAAAACCTATGATCCTGTATGCGGATCCGCTAAATAATCAATAAAAATTAACCGAATCTAGTAAAAAAAGCTATAAATTTTGTTTTAAAATTAAAACCCTGTTTTCTAATTTGCAACTGACTTTCCGTATAAAATTGATGTTAAGGGCATTGCAATCAAAAAAATTATAAAGGGTGTTCAAATTTGAATTAAGTTTTTTAATAATTTTTAATAAAACATAAAACTTTTTGAAATAAGCAGATATCTTAACCTTTTTGAAAGAAGCAGACATCTTTATTGAATATTAGAGTAGACAGATGGCAGTTAATAATGAAAAAGAATGTCAGATAAATAACAACCTCTTGCAGCTGTGTAGGTCATCTTTTAGTAAAATTTTAACACACGATGACACAATTGTGGTTCAATTTGAGTAATTTTCTCGATTCTTTCAGATGTTGAACAGCTTGAGTAATATTAGCGTAAACTTTGCTTTTCAAAAAACCTCATTTAAAGAAATTTAATGGTGTTAGAACACATAATCATGTAGGCCAGTTAACAGCTATCTTCTAGAAATTCGATCACAAAATTTCTCTTTCAAAAGATTGTTTCTGTTGCTGTATGCCATGTTGCACAGTCCTGTCGAAACCACATATTCTGCACATCAATATGCTCCAATTTGTGAAACAAATAGTTACTAATAATTGTTCGATAACGAGCACCATTTACAGCGACAGTGTCCAGTGTTTTTTTTCAAAGAAGTATGGATCAATCAATATACCAGACCAAAAACCATACCTAACAGTTACTTTTTGAGGATGCAGTTATTTTTCCAATATTACTCGTGAATTTTCTTCACCCCAGATCAGACAATTTTGTTTGTTTACATACCTGCCAATTTCAAAATAGACTTCATCAATAAAGATCACTTTGTTTTAAAATTATCATTTACTCCTCTTGCAGTAAGAGCCAAATTAACTAATGCACAACGTAATCCATGATCAATTGGCAATAATTGTTGTGTTGACTGTATTTTGTTTTGTAAGCTTTTAGGTGAAGATACTTATGCAAAATATTGAATAAAATGGTTTGTTTTATGCCTAATTGCTTAGAACGATAATAAATTAATGTGTTTAGCTCTTCACTAACACTTTTACTGAGAGCAGTAATATTTTCAAGGGAAAATACTGTAGTGTAAACTTTTATTTTTTGAGCTGGAACCAATTTTCTCAAATTTGTTCTTAATATTTCGAATGGTGGAGTTTGTTGGACAATTTCTTCCGTATTTTGTACAAAAATTTCTTACAACTTCTGCATAATTTTCACTGAACCTGAAATATTTAGCGTTAGCACATCTAGACGTTTTGAGGTTTAGAAGTATTTTTATATTTCCCAAAAACTCCATTGAGCAACACAAACTATTGCAAGACACTTGCAATAGTTCGTGTTGAGGTACATATCACTCAATAGAGCTTTAGGGAAATATGAAATTCACTCAGAAAAGAAACAAAAAATTGACGTTCTAAAATGTAAAACGATTAATAAAACTTAAATTAATAATTTAACAATTTAGTATATAAAAATGATATGTTTATTAAACCCAATTGTTTTAAACCGGGATAATCAGTTTGAAAATAAAATAAAAAGAAATAATATAAATAATTTTGCAACTAATCTCGTTAAAGATTATTACAGCTTAAAGAGGTACGCTCTGATCTTGATAAAAAAAACAACAATGATGACGACAATGATGACAATATTAGAAATTATAACAAATAATTGAATCTAGGTAAAAAACCAAAAATGTTTTATTAAAACATCCGGTTTTCAAATGTAATTGACAAGGGTGAAATTTGGTATCATCTCGTGAAAGGCTCTCTATCCTTGGATTGTTTTCACACACAAAAAGAAAATAGTTACAGGATTATAACATAGATGCATTTTATTTTTTCAAAATAAAATGCAGTGAAAAAAGTCTCTATTTACTTTTCAATTTTAAATAAAAACTATAAAAAAAATATTTCAATATTAAAAATGTTTGAAAGTGTAAAATTTGAAGTGTTTACTTATTATTATTTTTATTTTTTTGTGTGACTTGTAACTTTAATAAACACTAATTTTTTAAGTGTGTGTTTTAAAAACACAAAAAAACATTCGCGAAAACACTCTAACTTTAATAAACACTAATTTTTTAAGTTGTCACAAACTTGTTTTAAAAACACAAAAAAACATTCGCGAAAAAACTCTAACTTTAATAAACACTAATTTTTTAAGTTGTCAAAAACTTGTTTTTTTGCTATTTTTATGACTATTTTTACGTAAATACGTATGAATACACAAATACATATGAAATTAATAGAAAAAAGATCATTATGGATATGCAGTTGTTCAATCTAGTTATTATAGAGATCAGTGTACAGTTGACTCTTGATATCTTAAACTCTCAGGAAACCTGGAAAAAAATTCAAGATATTGAGAGTTTGAGAAATTGAGAGGATTTTGGCTTAAACGAGCGCGCAATGGACCGGAAATAATGTTTGAAATACACATAAGTTCAAGATATCGAGATATTGAAATGTCGAGAGTCGAAAAAAATCGAGAGTTTTTTATTTTTTACTTTGTCTATATATATATATATATATATATATATATATATATATATATATATATATATATATATATATATATATATATATATATATATATATATATATATATATATATATATATATATATATATATATATATATATATATATATATATATATATATATATATATATATATATATATATAAAGACGAAGTAAAAAATATACTATTAACCAAAGATGACTTGCCTATGAAAACATTTATGATTTGAATAATATAAACAGACTATCCTACTATACTTTTAACCATAATTTGACTCAATTAAATGCATTGTAATTGGAAATAAATTTGTTTTGGAAAAGATACCATTTTGTTGTAATCAAGGCACCTGGTTCTTTAAATTGTAACACTTTGATTTCCTAATGAAAAGAGGTTGATTTTTTAAAAACCCAATAAAATAAAAAATTAATTATAAATGATTTTTATCCTAACAGTAAAAATTTAAACACTTCATTTAAAACTTTTAGTAAAATTAATATTACCGTGACAACCTGAAATTCTACAAAAAAAAAATTGTATAAAAGCTTTAACTGTTACAACGTTCTCTTAATTTATTGATTAAAAATCACTAAATAAAGTATTACTTTTAAGGTTTATGGTTGTTACTACTACTATTATTTTTAAATTGCGCTTGAACTATTTCTACAAAACTTTGATTTTATTACTGATTAAGTAAAGAAAACTTTATTGTTCCAATCAAGGAAATTTTGGGCTATTTTGTTATATCACTGTTATATCATGCTCGCAGAAACTTATAAGATAAATTTATATTGTTATTTTGCATTTTAAATCCCATTGAATTAAATGCAAAAAACCGTATAACCTATAACAGTATAGTTTACCAAGCGCAATCAATATAGTGTGAACACAAAATTAGATCACCGAAATAAAATGACGCAAAAAAACTTTAAATCGATTGTGCACATGCAATTTTTGAGGAATAACTTTCAAAATTTGTGTCAAAACGTAAAAAATAAAGCTTCTTTTTAAAAAAAATACAAAATATAGCCATAATTTATTTTTTTTCAAAAATAAATGCAATTGTTCTAAATAAGGCGTTGTTCCGATTATGGCAACTCTCTATTATATATATATATATATATATATATATATATATATATATATATATATATATATATATATATATATATATATATATATATATATATATATATATATATATATATATATATATATATATATATTTTGGCATTGTTAAGGAAGGAGACGTGAACTTCTAGTTAATAATGCGTTAGTGGTGTAGTGGTAGAGCGCTCGCTTCATAGTGGTTCCGAGTTCGATCCCCACCACGTCCCTGGTAGTACCGCGCTCAACTCGTTTCTCCGCGCAGCGGCCTTGTTCGTCAAGGTTCGTGTTTCGGAGTTATAGAGTTGAGAGAGGGTTATAGCCACAAATAAGTAGCCTCCTCGTCTGTAGTGGTCTTCTCGGCCTTGAGGAGGTGAATCAAAATAAAAATAAAAAAAAATGCTCTCCCGCGGTGCTCCGTGATAAGACCGTAAGGACCTCTGGGAGCACCAAAACAACCTAAAAAAAAACAATATTAATAATAGTTAACAAAAAGTAATAAAGCTTTAAAATTTTTATTATGCAAATTCAAGTGCTGGAATAGCTCATTTGGTTGGCGCAGCTTAAAGTTCGGAACAATTATTGGCCGTAGCAGCAGGATTGCAGATTCAAATTCCGGCTCCACCTGCTCAGCGTACAAGTTGTACTTCGGTACGAAGGTAGCTCATCTCGATTAGCTCTACTATTACAATATTTTTTTCTCGACTAGTAAATAAATAATCGATTCGACAAAATGAAAAATATTGTTTAAGAATAGTCAAAAAACTTAGCATGAAGAATTCGGAAATTAATTTTTTTGGGGTTTCCAATATGGCAATTTTAGTGTCAAAAAATTAGAAATTTTGATCGGAGTTGCGCTATCCAGTTTTTATAGAGATCAGTACT